TTGACATACTCCGGTGCCATCTGCAGAAACCTGGTTAGCAATGGCACAGTGATTTATGAGAGTTTGTGAGTGAGTCGGATTTTACGCCGCCTTAGCAAAATTCCGGCAATATCAAGGCGCAGGATTCCCACATTGTGCCTATGATATGCAGAAAACCGATAATGGACTATCGGCACTAGGAGCGAACGCCTTTACCACTAGGCAACGCCAGCGGCCTTGATCATATGATCAACCATATTTGTTTTCATTTTTCAAATGTTAAAGTTTGCAATCACAGATGATGTTTATCACCACTGTAAAATGCAAGGATATTAGCATATCATCACTATCACCATCACCATCATCATCGTCGTCACCATCATTATCATCATCACCATCAGCATCGCCACCTGTATCGTTATCAGAGGTATATACGGTACTCCACACAGAGATTAACGAAGGGCGCCTATTTGATCAGGGGGTATTTAAATATCCATAATAGCTGTGTGTCAGTATATCCAGTTTCTGTCAGTGCAGAAAAATACCAAGTCGGTCGGCTGTGAACACGGTTTTTCAGCATCGGGCATCAGCTGATTTTCTCACGTCCTTGACACACAAAGATCTCTTGACATGATGTAACTTACCAGGGAGAGGGGATAGTCAGTCGGATTGCAGACACGAGGTAGATTGTTACGAACTACCAGAAACCGTTTCATAAATCATGCTTTCTGTCTAGGAAACTATTCATTACTGCTGTACAGTATCAAATATATTAGAACAGTAAAAACAAAAAAGAACGACACCAATTCTCAAACTGTTTGAAATTATATTCCCAGGATATATATACACACCCGGGCAAAAGAAAATGCCTTCCATTCTAATATCACTCCTGTGTACTGTGAATTTGCGACCCCCGTGCTCCTTAAGACGTCATGTGCACGTCACCTGTTGTGAGACACTAATTGATATGATGCATGTTGTATCGGCTAAGATACCCGAAACAAATATATCTCCATTTCTTGTTTGTTTCATTTTTAACCACCATCAAACATGGGTGTATACTTACTTTTGTCCGGCAGTTTACACACGTTACAATTACTTCCCAATTTTTCGATCACTGAGACGATTCGAACATGGTGGTCGCAATTACAAATTGCACAGTGAGGCGAGGTGAAATGGGGTTTAACGTCGCGTCCACGATTATTGCACTTTTATAGCGATGTGCATGCACGTGTGTGTGTGTGTGTTTGTGTTTGTGTGTGTGTGTGTAAATGTGGGTCTGTTGGATATATTACATAAAACATTCATCTTGAGCGGGATGGTAGTTCGAGTTGGATATACATGTTAACTATGATATGATATTCTCAAGGTAGAGAATGCCGCTCATGAATGTATTAATGAAATTCCCAGGTACATGGGGCCTTTTCGGCAGGAATATCCACACAGAGGAGACTTAAATGGGGATCGGGTGAACATGATGTGGTTCCTGGTAGATTGTATGTCATCAAACCGTACAACTTTAATCTTTGACTGATTGTGGCATAAAACACACTTATTCATTTACTTGTATCGGAAATTGAATGTTTATTGATGAACACGTAATATATTTTTCAAGAAATAAAACAGTGACATAATAACTACAACTTTATGTGAGTACGAGTAGCTCTGTTGGATATGGAGATAAATAAGTGTTATAAAGTTGTAAGCTTCTTCACAACCGTGTAGGGGCGGTCGGGTAGCCTCGTGGTTAAAGCGTTCGCTCATCACGCCGAAGACCCGGGTTCGATTCCCGACATGGGTACAATGTGTGAAGCCCATTTCTGGTGTGATATTGCCGTGATATTGCTGGAATATCGCCAAAAGCGGCGTAAAACCATACTCACTCACTCACTCACAACCGTGTTACCATGAATTGACTTTATTGGGTAATCCCAAAAGACATAGCGACCTAAAATAGCCAAATATCATACGATTTCACTTGTTCACCAAGGTGGGGGGTGAGAGTGGGGGGATAGATGATGGACTTAACAACAAGTAAGGTCATCTTGAGCGGGATGGTTTTCGTAGATTGATTAGCATATGAACTATGATTCTCTTGAGGCAGAAAATAAAGATTCTCGATGTTCGCCCTGGTAGAAGTGTGTAATCAAACCGCACAGCATTGCTCTTTGACTGGCTGTGGCGTCAAAACAAACTCATTCATGTACTTCATCTGAATGTTCACCTTAATTGTTATGGATAGTCACGGAGCCGTGATCCAGAGAACAGGGTGTTATTAGATAAAATTGAAGTAATAACAGGATTACCAGAAAAAAACGGGGTATAACACCCAAGCCAATAAGCTTCGCTCAGGAACATCAGAGTAAGTCAGTACAAGATTGAAAACTGCCCCATAAGTATGTATGACAGGCTTGTCGGATCGGGTATTGCCACTTGTATATGTGAAAACAAAGGTATTAAAATGAATAGGAAAACTGATGAAAGTCACCAATAAACGTGTATAAGTGTTATATCGTCACTGCAAAAATAATGTGTGTTTTTCTTTAGTATTAACATTCAAATACGTGATATCTGTATAAGCGATATTGTCTGCGTTCCACCGGTGAGTAAGCGTTAGGCTTACTATCTCGTAGTATAAATGTTGCAAGAAATTGTAATCCCGAAGACGTCACGATACAGTTTTTACGATGCACTAGCGCCTAAATAACAACCTTGTGTTTGGGTGTTTCAGTAGTTTAAATTGCTGCTCTTGATATTGTTGATTAAACTTTGATATTATGAACAATATAAGGGAATATGAGAGTATGACTTTAGAACGGCAACATGCGTTAATGTATATCTGATAAACTAGTATATATAGGATGACATAAATAGAACAATGAGGAGTACGTCCAGATTAGTGCATAGGCAACATTTGATAATTAAATTCAACAACTCTCCTTTTAAGAATACAATGTATAATTCTGGTGCACTTCCATGTGACTATATAGCATACACTAAGCTTTCGGGTCCCGTTTGGATCGGTTTGGGTGGCAGCTTAGATATCCATAGAATAGGTTCATCTCGGAATCTCCCATAAAACTGGGGCTCCTCTTCAATTTAAATGGAGTTACTTGTTTCTACTAAGCATTAGTCTGAATAGACATCACCAGTTTGGAATTTGAAACTAATCTGTTTACAGTAACAGGACACTGCTTAAGTGTCATGTACAAATGAGAAAGTGGAACCTTAAAACTATTAATAAACATTAAAATAAGCAATATCGGAAAAAATGTATATGCATATAATATCTGGCAATATACACCACGATCACCTTCTACAAAAATAAGTTTTAAAAGACGGTTGATATTCGTTGGCGTATTTGACGATTATATAACTTTCGAAAGTATAAATCCTTTTCCTATACTCAGACGTTCCTGAGCCTTGCGCTTTCCTAATTATTTTGACTAAAATTATTACCGTTATCATTGTATTAGTTAATGGGAAATGCGTGCCCATCAAGTACGTGCCATAAATTAAAGCGACATTGTACGATTCCGAACTTATCACGAGACTGTGTTTATGAATCATTGTCAAATAGTGGTGACATAGTGGAAACAATACGCGAAATCGCGCATCCAATTTGGACAAGGCATCAAGCAATCCGCATGCGCAGAACGATTGATTTCAGTACTTCTGCTAAGCGCTTCGGGTACAGCGTCAAACTCGGGAGTGTAATCTAGCACGCGAGAACTGACCAATGAAATCTGAGAAGTAGGAATACCGGTAGACGCTGTTGCTTGATTGACAATGTCAATCAAGAAAGTGAGGAGTTTGATGATATCGATTTTTCCCAGTAAATTCCGATGTCAAATAACGACGTTATTTGGATGGAAAAACGATGGTTTGAAAGCGTCCAAATAACGTCGTTTTTCCGTCCAATGACCATATACGGGAAAAAAACGACGCTCCTTTCTGTAGGTCAGCACTTCTCTGACGTTCACCCTGAATGTGAAAAGGGAGAAATAATGTCGGTACAACAACTATACACTTAACCTGATGTACGCATGTTTATCTTCAATATCAATTTTTACTAAAGGTTCTGAGGTTGAAATGGGGTTTAACGTCGGGTTGAAGTAAAAGGAGAATGAATTGCATATATGACAGACATATATCCGTTGAGTTTATAATTGTCAATTGTACTCCATACGATTGTGCTGCATACATGTTGCAGTTGAATGATTCCTAAATAACGATAAGAGATCAGGGTACGCATCCCAGCAGACATATTTCAGATAATGTTAACCTTGTTGACAGAAAAAGTATCACGTAAATCAACGGTGTCCCTCATATAATGCTAGTATACAAATTGTCGAATGATAAAGTCATACATGGATTGAACGCAAATAATCCAGTTCAACCACTTTGTGCTTTGTGCCTTGACCCCATTCACACGGACGCGTTAAACATGGTTACAATTGTATTAAACCCAAACCTCCACATTTGTCATTGAAGATCTGAAGGAAGAAAGCACCAGTCAATGTAACAGATAGTAATCTTGTAACAGAATCATCATACATGCCACACTATTCTCACAGTGTTCAATGAGTGATCATGAATTTGTTTAAATCTGCTTGAACATATTTCAAATTGGTGTGTGAAGACAGCCCAACATGATACATATCTTAGACATTTATCACTCTGGACCAACCCACACGCAAACATAGACGCAAAAGAAGCGCGGATGTTGGATTCAAAACCTCGACACAGGCAACGTAATGGAGGCAACTGTACACAGCTTATTTCGGACGCCTCAGGCGACTGGACACCCGTGTCCATTATCCCTTAGAACATTTCATGTCTTATGTTGTCTTGTACCGTACATGTTACGCTTTAGCTTGTATCCAAGACTATATTTAGAGCAATATTATTATATTTATAAGCATCTACATGTATAGAAATGAAGTATAATCCGTACAATGCAACGGACATGATTCAAAGGTTTATTACTGGTAGACATAAAAACAAATAGATGAACTTACCCATTTTTGGGGAGTTCAGATGACACGCTATGCAGTATCAGGACTGTAAAGAATCTCACAACACATGGGGACATTTCAAAAGCTTACTGTAAAGCTGGATTAATCACACTACGTACTGTACTCCTGTCATCCGTTTTGCAAAACCCTCTTCATGATATATCAGCTCACTGACAGAGTGAATGGCTACGTGTCACAGTCTGATCATGCACACGACGACCGCCATATATAGTACCAGGAAGAGAAATTCAGGCGGAACATTATATAGAAATTTCTCAACAGAGTCATTTTATGTTCCTCTCAAGACGAAAAGAGAATCACGTATGTACCAAAGTACATTGTATATGTTAACCCGTCTTGGGCTAGGGTGATAAACACATGCTACTACCAGGTGTGTTCTCCAATGTGTTGACCGCCCGCGTGGTTTAGTGGTAGAGTGAAACCCACCCGGAAGCGGAAGGTCGGGGATTCGATACCAAAAGACGTTACAAGATCTTACTTGTTGTTTCCCTGCCTGGCGCAAGACATTAAAGGGTAAGACAAGGAAGTTCGTCTCGGAGTTAGTATACTGTGTCTAAGTGTTTATTTTCGTGTGAAACTGCGGCATAGTATTTCCGTGGTTTGGCACTATAAAATCGGCCTTAGTCCGGACTAGTACAAGCAACTTCGCACACACACGCACGTGCACATGCACGTCGCTATTTCAGTGGGAAAATCTTGGACGCGACGTTAAACCCCATTTCAACTAACCTCTTCACAAACCAATGAACTGACTGAGTTCCTTCTGTACACGTATTGTTCTCATGTTGTTAAGATATTGGCATGTCTAAAACATTTATAAGATGGCACAGAGCTTCACGAAGGTCATATTCTGAATGATAATGGTGTTTCGTGGTGGGGGGGGGGGGGGGGGGGGGGGGTGTCGCTTTAATCGATTTGAACATTACACAGTGCAATGGATCAAGACGTATGCTGATGTGGATGTACATGGAAAACATGTAATTCACTTTCGCATATCGTACATTACCTATATGTTTCTCTTGAGATATCGTGTTATTCATGTTAAAGCTATTGCTTTCTATGAAATTATTGCATCATAAAGAAATACCAGGATATCGATTTAAAAGTGTAAGTATTTCGCTAGCAATGTGTTAAGAATTTTCATGTTGGTAATTTTATTACCCATTCAATGTGTGAACATAAATCATGTACAACCCATGTCCATGTACCATGTCCGCTTTGGAATTCCTAGGTCACCTATGCTTGTTACTAGGCAACTAATTGGATCGGGTGTACAGACTCGGTAATTTATTTTATTGTGTACCATCGCACCCCGACGGCATGGGGCATTGTTCATAATATTAATCACAGGGTTGCTTGGTCCAACCTCCATTATTTACAGGGGGTTGAAATAGGTCGAACACGTCTGACTGCCGCATAGAACAATGCAAAAATACCTTCTTGAATTACATTTTAACCGATGTCTAAGTCTATACATTAAACAATGTGAAACAGTTGTCTTACTTCATACTTGTGTGCGCAGGCTAGTGTTCTTATAATAATAAATCAGTAGACTCAATCAGTAGCACAAAAAGAGTTAAAAAATATCACGTTTATGACACATACTACTAAGTAAAGCGGCTACCAGAAGTAAAACTATTCACAGTAAAATTCAAATCATGTGTCCTCTATACGTGACTTAGATTTGCCACCGCATTATATGTATGCCGACAAGCTGATCAATGCGGTGAAGGAGTAAGTAGGCTGCTCGCTTGTGTTATTCCGAAAACGACAACCAACCCACCGCCCAAATGAATGGTAAACGTGTGAATAGCGTCAGTGGAAACCGCAACCTACTTTAGAACTGACTTTGAATAGCAACATGTTCACTGTATACGAGAACGTGTGTATGCCTTCTGAAACTCACTCACGCGCTGAAACATAAAACTAGTACACGTTACTTTTTAAAATAATTGATACAAACACTCCAATGCATATGAACATATATAGCATGCAATCATGTTTCGAAACTGCCTCTGTTTTCTACATTGTATACATACGGTACCCTTTCTTTTGATCATCGGTTTACACTGCACATAAAACATAGTTTATTGGTTTCAGTACAATCTATATTCTGTGTCTTATATACATACATACATACATACATACATACATATGTAGTTTTGTTGCATCTTCGACACACACATACACAAATACAAATATACGATCAGATAAAAGGCTTTTGTGATAACGAAGAAATTACTGAGTGACACGCAATCTTATTTGTGCCTTCAATATTCAAAGGAACTCTTAGTACAGTTGATTTATTATCATACAAAATATGCTATACATGCAACCAATATTGTCCTTTATCTCAAATCATTCATCCCCATGATCACAGCAGGGTATACCCGTCGTCAGTTTTTACGATGATCAATTATATAATGTCAATATATCAGGATATAAAACACAAATGAGTGCAGATAATTCAGGCTTGGTGTCCTGTCAACGTCGGTAAACATAAATGTATTAAACATATGCAGCATGCAAGAGCATTTTGGCACCCAATATGGAAGACATAGTGATCGTCAACACTTGATTAAAAATAGATTTATTGTAGATTTATCAAATCTAGTTCAGATTGATTCTTTCAGTAAGATATCCGGACAGACCACACTGGTCAACAGTAGATGTGGTAATAAACAGGGAATGAAATGGGCTGTGCTGTGATGTCAAACTCAGCCTTATCTCATCTCTCCCCGTCAGCAGCTGGTCAACGACATTGGCGCTTCCTGGTTCTGTTCCTATGTGTACAACATACAGAAGGCCAGCCTTGGGGGACGTAAACAGGTCCAGCCAAGACACGGTCAGTCGGTGTCCACTGCGGGTCACAGACAAGTGTCCAGTTCCTGTTACAGTAAGTAACGACGACACACGACATTGGAGCTATTTCTTCGCAACCTTTTAATAATCGATAACTATTGATCGACATGATTGATAAAATGAGCAACGATGACGTCAAGATACCAACCTCGCCACCGTTCCCTAACTATCCGATGCTGCTCGGGATCCCTTCCAGCCTGGAATCCCCAGTTTTCTTTAACAGTGGTCATCATTAGATAGATTGAATATCGTTTAAGTATATTTTAGACACAGCTTCATGACAAAATAAAGGCTCAATGTTTAACATATGCCGTCTTTTTAAACCCTCTTGCCACAACTTAAGTAATGTATATGCGAGTAATATTCATGGCGAAAAGGGAAGACACAGTCACATTGTGCTACATTTAACCAATATGTAAATGAGCCTTAGGAAATTTGGTTGAGCGCTGTTTGCTCGGGATTTCAATTGCATCATGGTATGGCAGCATATTATGAGATGAAAGCCTAAACTGTATATGCTGGGTATAAGGCTAATATAACCAATGATGATAGTCGAGACGAATCTGGCATTCGAACCTATGGAGATCGGATCCTGGCATTGCTAAGGGAGGCAACCCTGCTCATTGATAAGCAACGACGTACCAAATTAGGCACTCGATCGTCCCCTTTTATAGATACACTTTACGAAGGAAGCAGCAAAATAAGTAGACCCCAGAAACACTTTTTGACTATTTGACAGTTTGAGTGCTTGTTGAATACTCACCTGATGCTGCTGGTGGTTTGCCATGTACTGTGAAGTTTAAAGTTGTTGTTTTTCCCAACGGTATCAAGTTCGTCCACTGGGAAACCGATAACCTGATAGGACAAACCCATTTATAGGCTTAAACCTGCCAAGGTAACAAAGCTGTAGTCCAGATGAGCGGGAACAGCACTCATTCTTGCAAAATTCTCTCCTTCGACACCAACCTGAAATGTGAACGAAAATATATTTATTTATTTATTTTGTATTGTTGTTACAAAATAGCACACATGCATAGTAGCAACATTTACCATTATGGTACAAGTATTCTTTGTCAGAGCAGAAATGTTTGACTTACTACAATCAACTTTACTCTGCTGCCTGCTTCACCCCACCGTAGCCTGACTTTCTCCTGACTCTGGTGACACACATCCCGCTCACTGTACACCGACTGACTTTCTCTCAGGATACTGAAGCCTGGAACTGATGTCTGGTTCCTCGCCTGGATCACCTCAACTCCATCTGACGTCATGGCCGCCACCAGTCCTGCCTTGTTGAAGCACCGGACTGTTGTGTAGACTGTCATGGACGATGTGTGGAGCATAGAGCTGATGTCATGTTGACGTGTGGACTGACCTGTGGATACCCTCTCAAACTGTTTTATGTCACTGCTGCCTCGTGTTCTCCCTTTAACATACGAAGAAAGTATAGTTTGACGCCTTAATTAATAGTCCAGTAATATGACGACTGGGACACCAAAAATGGGTTTTACACATTGTACCAATGCGGGTAATCGAGCCCAGGTCTTCGGCCTGGCGAGCGAACGCTTTAACCACTGGACTACCCTGAACATCTATGATTATAATGATAATAACTGAAGAAGGATGATTTTGGAATCAAAGAAACATATCTACTTATCCCGTTTTTTTAATCGTCCTGTTATAGAAACAGTATAGTGGTACATACCAATGGCCCATTCACAGTGTTCAACACCAGACTCCCCATCAGCGAGACGCCAGTTGACCATCACAACATGTGATGTCTGATAGTCTTCATCTGAACCTGAGCACAATGCATACAACTTTCATGGTAAGAATAATATATAGAGAAATAAACACGCAAACAAAGCACTTACATAACGGAGATCAAATATATACTAAATTATACCTTCGCCATCCTTGACAAAACCAAACATTGGTGGAGTCATGTCGACAGTGATCGGATCCGAGTATGTGAGTCTTGTGAGATCAGCGGCATTCACTGCTTGGACAGTAATGTAAAGACTGTCCTTGTGGGTCAGTTGCAAACCAGTCACAGTGGATTAAAATTGCCTGCCTACATGTTGGTATGTTTGAAGCTGTGTTCCTCCGGGAACAGTGCCTGGACAATCGAAAGAAGTACACATATATAAACTATTATTGTTCGTATATGTTGGTAAGGATTGACATCCATCATAATGACTCAAACAGGTCACTGCGTATTGGGCTATGGGGTATGTTGT